ATTCTGACTGTTGCCTCTCAATACATCTATGAGAATATTATGTACACAAGAAAACATTACGATTCCTTCACAAAAAAAAGTAGTGTTCATAATCTTAACACAAGAAATAAAAATAAACTTGCCGTTCCAAGCTTCAGACTTCAAACAACCAGAGGATAATTTCTGGGTAAATGTATTGCTATGTTCAATAAAGTTCCACAAAATGTAATTGACCTACCCATAAATAAATTTCAAATTCATGTAAAGAATACACTTATGAGTAAAGGCTTTTATAAGTTGATGATTATTTTAAGGATCGCAATGCATGGAATTAATAGCCTTCGCTTTGTTCTATAAAGACTAATTATATGTTCAACCTATGTCCTACAGACTTTGAAAGTTGTATTTATTATTATGATAATACATATTATTTTGGTAATTACATGATTTATGTAAATGTCATTACTTATGATAAAAAACTGGTAAGTTTCTTTCGCTTGTTCTTCTTGTCAGCTAAAAGACGTCCTGAACAAGTGGTAAGGGAAAAAAATTTTTTTGGACGATTCAAAAGTGCTTGTAGTAGCCTACTTTAATAAAGATATTTTCATTTCATTTCATTAAAACAAAATGTATTACCATAAGAATACAGGGCTTATAAAGTTTATACGATATAAATACAGTTAAAGAATAAATAAGAATTATGTAGACTCATATTTGGATTAAGACTGCACAAGTCATCATTTTTCTGTCTCACCGTATATAAATAACACTTGAGGTAATACTTTTTTGCTTTTCATGACTTTGAAACCTTTTCTTTAAAAATGACATTGTGATTATTAATTCGAGGGATGGAGGCCAGAGGTGCGACCGCCTAGAATAGAATAGAATAGAATAGATATTTATTTGCCTTTAAATAGGGTACAATTTGATAGGAATTAATTAAAATAAAATTAGAACTTAAAACCTATTTAGCCATACAAAGATAGCATGCAAATATTAAATTTGATTAATTTTTCGTTTCCGGTAAAACAATCAAATTATTATCAAAATTAATTAAATACAATTTTTTATACAAAATTAACAAATTCACTAAAATTGCCATAATCATTATCATTTTGAAGATAAAATGTCACAATAATAAATGTCAAGATAAGGAATTTCGTAATTAATAGCGTCAAAACAATTAAAAAGATACAAATCATATAGCAATTAAACTTTGTGTTAACTTATATAGCTTTGGCTATTAATTTATCTAGTAGCATGGTTTAAAAAATCATCAATAGAATAAAATGCCATTTACAATAACCATTTACGTAAAGTAGATTTGAATCGGTTATACGGTAATAGTTTGAAATTATTGGGTATTTTGTTATATATTTTTTGGCACATGGCGTAACTGCTATTCGAAATCTTTGAGTTTTAGGGACGAATTTCAAAACTATTCTTTCAGGGTTTCTTCTTAATCTTTGGCCCAAATCCTGTGCTTGTGTAAACTTTTTACTATTTAATTTTACAAATATGCAAACAGGCAGTGTCAAAATTTGGAGTTTTAAAGTTAGGCTTGCAAGAAATATCCGGCTTTAGATTGCATATAGCACGAATGCATCTTTTTTGAGCAATAAAAAGAATTTTGGTATCAGTGCCCATCTCCAAATTAATAAACCATATCTTAAGATGGATTCTACATATGCGAAATAGGCCATGATAGCCGTATTTACACTTGCTACTTTTGTAAGTTTATATAACGCGAAGGAAAAGGAGTTCACTTTATTGCACACTTTTTCTATATGCTCTTTCCACCTGAATTTAGGATCAACTAAGCCTAGAAATTTTACATTTGGAGCACTCTGTAGAGTTTGTCCATTAAAAGATACGTCTACTGATTGCTTTTTAAAATTATTGAAATTAATTATATTAGTTTTTGCTAAATTAACCTTAAGATTGTTATTCTGAAGCCAATTAATAATTGATGTCATTGTATTTGTGATGTCAAGTTTGTGTTGCTCTAAGGTACTTTTCGTTGAAACAATAATGGAAATATCATCAGCAAATAGTACCGTCTTAAATTTTATTATGTCAGGTAAATCATTTATGTACAGCAAAAACAACAAAGGGCCTAGAACACTGCCTTGAGGAACGCCACATTTATTATGTTTTGGTTTAGATCTGTAAAGCTGAATTGTATTTTTTTTTGTCAATCTGTGGTATCTCTACGAATTGCATTCTATTAGATAATTAGGAATCCAACCAGTTTAATGCACTCATGACGTAGCCGTAGTCGTAGCTATAACCTACGCTTTATCGATATTTCTTATGAATCTGTTTATATTCTTTTAAAATTAATTGTTTTTTTTAATTTATATATTTTATCAAACATTTTGGTTTGTTTTTCTTTTCGAAATAACATTGTATCAATTCGACATTTTGTAAATTTCGTTTAACTTTAATAATTCAGCAAACAAAAACAACTAAAAGCATTGATTAAATATGTAAATAATAAAAAATTATTAATTTTAAAACAATATCAACAGATTCATGTGTAAAACCTATAAAGCGTAGGTTATAGCTACGACTACGGCTACGTCCATGAGTTAGGCGGTCGCGCCCCAGGACTCCCATAGAACGGGGTCTACCTAGTTTGGACTCCTGTCTTCTACATAAACTTGTTGTATTTTGTATGTTGTATACATTTGTTGCTCAAAATGTAGAAGAAAATAAAATAAAGATTATTATTATATCTTTAATTTTGTAATAAAATATGAAATGAATACACCACCATTATAGTGTGTAGGTAGTGTCTCAAATAATAGAAAATAGCAAGTTTCGGGGTTTTGTTTTTGAATAAGTGTTACAAGTATGTAACAGTTATAAAACTCTACGAATATGGTCTTACCTCCGGCAAGCCAATTGTTAATTAATAATTGGATAAACCGACTCTAAAAAAAAAACAAAATATTATTCTTCAAACCTACAAAAGCAATTAACAAATTTAATAAACTTTATTTAAATTCGGGTGGGGATCGTGCTTTTTAAATGACCCGACTTCAAATAAAGTTCACTGAATTTGTTAACGCCTTTATAGATTTGTTGTTGTAATTTTAGAGAACGCAGCTGTAGTTTTAGAGAACTTTTCATTTATATATTTTTATTGATTCATTTATTGAATTCAAGATGACTCATTTATTATAGGTAATCAAAATACTAATACTACTAATTACAGATAATCTAATTTCCGATTATATCCGTATATCCTTAATGGCTTAATTTAATTTGAATGTGCCGGTGATAAATATTTTTTGTGAAAAAAATATTTATCACCGTTTATAAAACATATCTGTCTCCTTTCAGTTCAATAAATAATTTGGTCTTGCTTACAGACTGTTCATTCGGAATAGTACAAACATTGAAAAACTAAGCACTATTGCACAATAAAAACGGATATCACAACAACTGGTACCTATTTTAAAATTGATTCGGATAATTTTGAATCATCGGCACGCGTTTTTACAGCCTTTATTATCTTTTAATTTCTGAAAATTACACAATTATTATAATCTCCTTATTCATTAAGAAAAACCTATATGATTTTTAAAATCAATGGCCACTATCCTTCAAAAATTTATCAGAGAAGGAATACACAGTAACGTTAGTGGTAACCTATTTAAATTGACAACAATAAAAACCTCATCAGAGTAATAATTAACGATCTTATTATACAAATTAAGAAAGTTTACGAAAAATATTAATATAAGAACACTATGCTATAGTCGATCAAATTAGTGACATGAATCAGTACAATTAAATAGCACGCAGTCGCCTGCCGTAGGTTAGTCAACAGATGGTGTAGTATTTTGTTTTTCTTTTTATTTTCTATAGTTCTTGTTTACAGAATTTGAATAGACGACTACGCTCGAATTCCCGGGTAGCCATGTCCAGGTTGGTTAGTGGAAAGGCTCCTTTTTTCCCTTTTGACCCCCTCACGGATTTTCCCGATAACATACTAGTTAACGAAGGAGAAGTCCGATACTCTTCTGCTGTCCGTAGTCCGTATCAGACGTAGGTATTTTACGCACTTTCCTTGGGTCAACAAAAAACGTTTTAGAATAGATACCCACTTTTACAGACGTGTGAGACGAATCACCTGCGATAAACTTCATTACTATAAAAAATAAACATTATCATCGTTGCTCCACATCATAACAAGTAAACGCCTGCGGTGTTGCCTCTTTGTCGTATTTCTTATGATAAAATAGAAAAATGGAAAGTTTGATGATGCCGACACTTTATGAATTTCTATCACCCAAACGCTTATGACGTACACATGAAGGAGAGTCCAGTGGCTTAATGCACACGTCAAACTTATTGGGAGAAGTATAAATAAATAAGAAGTATAAATTGTATACAAAAATTTTCGATTTACTATAACTAAGAGCGGTTAGTAAACCATCTTTTTTTAAGTTTGAACAAATGAATGATATTTTATATCGTGGATGTGCTTTCAGGAAGAATGAAAGGTACGCCGTTAACATAGGACGGAAACTGTGTATTGAGAATAGTATAAATGTAGCGGTTGGGAAAATTTTAACCAGAATGCTAGCTAACGTATGGTAGCGAGTGTTGAGTAACTTAGAGAGAGAATGTTAGTAGAATAAATGCACAGGCTAACCCTATACGTAATTAAGAGATAAGAGTGGACCTGAAAGATAGTGTCGGTGTAACAATGAATAGAAGTATACTCCTTTGGTTCGGACATTTGAGAATAATGCTGGATGAAAGAATGAAAAACTAATAAACAACGTGAAGATAGAATGATGTAGGAGCCATGGACGGTCAAAACACACCTGGTACTACCATATCGATCGCGTACTGTTCAAAGGTGAAGTTAGAAGCCATTAAAAACCGGCGATCGTGTATGAAGACAGTAATGAAAGTGGAGAAGATGAAAGATACTGTAAGGACTGTGCCTTGTTGCAATCGGTTCTATCTACTTCACTCGGTATTATTTCTGGTAGGTATTTTTTTATAAAAATATATGATATCAAGTATCTGCGTTATCACTCTGCACTCAGTAATACTGGAGAATATTCTTAATGAAAAATGCTTAAAAATCCACTTTGTCCCTGATCCCATCCCATCTCAGAGTACCAGCGACAAAATGTTTTTTTTTTGTATTTTTCATTAAGAATGTTTCCCAGTGTAGTATTGTGAATGCAAACATGATCAAATATAATAAATAATCTAAGTTAAAACTCAGCTTCTCTAAAAGACAAGAATCTTATCGCCATATCATTTGATGCGATGTCTGCGTACGCGGACCAGTTAGTCGCGCACGGCATGGCGCCGAATGTAGCGGACGGGCGTGAGAGTGCGCGATCCGATTTTCCTCACGTGGAACAGGGACATCCCCAACGTGTTCCTGAACAAACACGTTCCTCCAGTAATTCAGAATGCGCTGATGGAGAAACTGAGCGTGACGTCTTGGAAGCTGCGCTCGCGCAGATCGGGCCGTTCGGATGGTACCAGCGTTATATGGTGCTGATGCTGTGTTTGCCTAATGTGCTAGGTGCTATGTACTCATTGAACTACATATTCGTAGCCGACCAAATACCCTTTCGGTGAGCGATGCTAAGAAAATATTTCATTTTATTTATAACATAGTGACCGTGAGTCATTTTTATGCCTTTCAACACAAAGATGTTTTGAGTTATAAAATTAAGGGCATTTAAGCATAAATATACAATTTTATAAAAAACTCCAAACTTAGATATAGATAACACGAGTTTATATCACGTGTGACTTAAAGCGTTTCATAATTTTGTTACTGTATATACTTAGGAATACTTAGAATAATTAAACTTGAGGAATTTATGCTATTGTTCTCGACAGTATACCTACACTGTAGCAGCTATGTCACGTTTCATTGCAGATTGTTATCTGTCACATAAAAAGAAACGATAAAATCGCACGTAAAGGAATTAGATTTATTTCAAAATAGAAAAAGTAATGATGAATTTTCAATGTTTGAAAACTCCAGATGATCATTTCCATGGGGAGTGAATTCCGTTGGCGTGAAAATGATCCAGCAAAATAAGCGTTTTGTGAACACAGAGGCTGTAATTCCTTTTGACAAACATCATTGTGATGTGATTTTCCTTATCTATTTATATATGTCTACTTCACAAATGTTTTTTTTAATTTAACCGAAGTCTTCACCAGTTGCAAACAATAAGGATTCTTGTAGCTCCGTGAAGCCCTTGGTTACAAAGTGACTCTCATACGTATATTTGTCAATTCACTCCAAAGTGTAATAGTATAATTGGCATCTATATTTTGGATTGGGAAAATTTAATTGGGATTGGGAATAAATTGACAATTTTGGAGGAAACCTTGTAATATTTATTTTTAACAAATTTTTGGCCTTTTCAAATCTTGTGTAGTTTTACCATTTTTAATTACAGATTATTACAACGTTATTAATGTGTACAAACCAATTGACAGTCAATGATTTTTGGTCCAAGCAAATTTTTATTTATTTAAAGAAAAAAAAAAACACTGTCAAGAAAAGGCCTTAATTCAAAAAGTTTAAAGAAGAGCAAATAAGTTCGAAGTTAAAAAAATATTATGTTTAAGAGAAATCTAAAACAAATAAACTGAGTTATAATTTATTTCAACCAGTCAAAACAAATACCTTTGATTACATTTTCAATAGCGCCCGTTACGTTTAGAGTAGATAATTAGCAACCAAATATTACTTTCCCATGTACAAAATTGCTGAAAAGTGATAGTAATATCATGTAATTGGGTTTTAATGAAATCTTAAATCTATTTGAAGTTTAATCTAGATCCGATATCTAAATACCTTTATCTGGTATACCATTATCATTATGATAGTGGTAATGTATGCTAATTAGCTACTTATCCAACTGATAATGGAAGGGATCATATCATGTTGTACTTACTAATTTGCTTATTAAAAATATTCCAGAATAATGGACCCTATAGACGTTTTGTCTTGCCTCCAATGTACATATGTTATTCAAGTTTGTATGGATATCTTTACTTACATTTTCAAATCTGACTGGTATCTACTTCCAGTCTTACAGCCGGTTTCTGAATTGAGAAAAGTACCTACAAAATCTCAATAAATTTTCTCGATAACTTAATTTACGTTTCACAAGTCATAAAGCACTAGTGTTATCAAACTGCTATCTATTATTAGATATGTAATAACTTAAAAATACGTGGCACTATGGACAAACCTTAGTGGTTTTTATAGTGTCATTTCAACAATAATATTGTATGTAATTGTATGGATTGCTAAATAAATAAAAAAAAAAACTAATCATAAAAAAAAACTGAAATCAGAAACGAAAACCTGTTTAGGTTACGTTTAAGTATAATTTGAGACGTTCTTAAATTTAAATTCTCAATTCAGAAACTGGGTGATAGCGTTCAAACAAAAACTCAAAATATCAAAGATATTAGCTACGAGTATATTACGAGTAGAGATATCTATAATAATCTTTCGACGTCATAACAGAAATATTCGATTCTATATTTTCTGGAACACAAAACATGTTTAATTGTATATTACATACAAACTCTGACCCGAGACATATTATTTATAAGCCGGATATGAAATTTTGTACTTAAAAAATAATTGACCAAACTGACGACCTATAATTCTTAAACATATTTTTAATGTAATTTTTCATTAATCTTACACATTTTTAGTATGTCATCATCATCATCATCAGACCTTTTACGGCCCCAGATAATAATAATTAAGCTCGAGATAATATTTTTTTTTGGTCACCCATCCCGTGACCGACCCTTATGAAAGTTGCTTAACGACGACGATCGCGGGCCGCGGCGCTTATTCACTACGCCACCGAGCTATCTTTTTTTGTATTTATTCACATTTCATACACATCTTATGTCTAATTATTAAAAATTAACTCTATACTCTATGTTTTATAAAGGTGTGTAGTCCCAGAATGTGAAGGTTGGCAACCGGAATTCTCCAGCAATACTACATTCGCACTGGTACCCGGAGACACACGCTGCGAACGTTACCGCCCTTTGTACCCTTCCAATGACACCTGCCGACGCCAGGACTTCGCACAAGACCGAATAGACTGTGATCACTTCGTCTATCAGAACGATGACACCATTTTCGCCGAGGTAATAATAAACAATCACTTCATATTATAATGGCATTCAATGCTTATATACTTTTATCTCCTATAGTATACCACAACATATTTTGATGCGTTGGGATGCTTTTTTTTTATGGGATAGGGGGCAGACGAGCAGACGGATCACATGATGGTAAGTGATTACTGATTACCGTCGCCCATGGACACCTGCAATACCAGAGGGGCTACAAGCGCGCTGCCGGCCTTGGAGGAAAGGGTTGAGGGGTAGAGGGAAGGGAATAGGAAGGGGTTGGGCCTCCGGTACCCTCACTCACACGACGAAACACAACGCAAGCGTTGCTTCACGTCGGTTTTCTGTGAGGCTTTGGTATCACTCCGGTCGAGCCGGCCCATTCATGCCGAAGCGTGGCTCTCCCACGTTTTTAAAATGCCTGAAATAAATAATGCATGTCAGCATAACAACACAGGCAATAGCCTAGTGTAAAACTGTATACTTATTGGCTTTATTCATTACATATATTTCTGCGTGGCCAATATTTACTTCTCGCGATTGAGAAACAAGAATCATAGCAGAATAGACATTCTATTCCAATATGAATGTGAACGTGTTTCAGTTTGACCTGGCGTGCCGCGAATGGATGCGGACCCTGGTGGGAACCGTCCGTAACTCAGCGCTGCCCTTCGCCCTTCTACTCACAGGCTATATCTCTGATAAGTCAGTATCTAGTTTTTTATGTTACAGAAAAAATATTTAAATAAATAAGAAAAAGTTCTTGATATACACTTAAAATATAACATATTTAGATGATTCTGTCTTAATAATATATTAAAAATAAAAACTTCTGCTTACTCTTTGCTACCACGATACTGAAGAAGCAGATGGGAAATATTATTAAACATAAAGGTATTGGTCTCGTGCTGTTTGGTAAGCTCTTAAAATCTCTGGTCGTGAGACAAACTAGCCAGGATGCAATTAAGGAATGCAAGGCTGTTTATAGGATTAGGATTATAGAGATTGGTAATAACGTATTATAAACAAGAAAAGAGTCGAAAGTAATAGGATTTCATTTAATAATTTACATTCAGATTTGGCCGGCGAACTGCTTTCTGCATATTCTCTGGGTTTGCGGGGGCTCTGGGTGTCCTGAAGGGATTCGCTGTCAACTACCAGATGTATGTCGCCACGGAGTTCTTCGAAGCTATGCTCGGATATGGCTTCAACAGCGCTGGCTACGTCATGAGTAAGTTGAAACTAGGCTAAAGTCTACCAAAGCCATCTCTACTTGGATCAATTTTAATAATATTAACCTTAATACCTTATGGCACAAATTATATAAACTGGCATGTTGCGTATTTTATCTTTCGATCCTCAAAACCTTATAGTATTAACTATATTTACTGCAAAGCTAAATTCTTTCCGACAATAAATACCTAAATAAATATTGAGCAGAAGGTCGCGGTACCCTATTATAAACTGACCTGCACCGCTTTTTATTTTCCCCCTGCCTATTTCCTTTATATGGGGTCAGCTCTCCTCCTAATTATTATTTTTTTTCTTACTATATTTTCCAACATTAATTCCACATCCCTCCGTTAAATTGATTTTGTCCTATATTTTTAACCTTTCAATTATTACACACTTCCTGTGTGCGATAATGGTCTGTACATAAAAGTTTATAATAAAGAATAATAATTCCTTTAAACAAAGGCAACATAATATATCAACTCTTTACATAATTAGGCACTTGAACGTAACAGAATTTTGTCATCAGGGATGAAGAAGAATATATTGAATTTATATATTTTTATTTACTATTTTCAGTCGTAGAACTCGCGCGACCATCACTCCGGGCTGCCTTTGCTTGTGCAACAGGAGTAGCGTACGGCATCGGAGGGATGTTGTTTGCTCTTATCGCATGGAAATTGTCATATTGGCGGCTGATACTATGGACGATCCACTCCATGGCACTACTCTTGCCTCTTTACTGGCTGTTGATCGACGAGAGCCCGCGCTGGTTGCACGCACGAGGCGACAAGGACCGCGCTGCTGCGATAATAAGGAAAGCAGCTATGATTAATAAGGTAGTTTTTTATTGAATAAACATTCACTCATGAAACGATAAAACATTTAGTTACTGCTTTGATGTAGGTCATTTGTTATATTTTTATTTCTTTTTTGATAGTACCCCTTTATGCTCATGAGTAATAATTGTAATATTCGCATAAAATATAATTAGGAGCAGGTCAGCAAATTACAAAAGAACACAATGCATAGAGATAAAATTAAAATGATCTCATTATATTACAGAAATCAATCAACGAAGATATAATGAGAGCTCTCTACCAAGAGAACAAGAAGGAAGAAACGGTAAAAACTAATCCATGGCTGCAGTTACTCCGGTCCAAAGTCCTAATCTTTCGATTTCTAACGTGTTGCTGGTGTTGGGTAGCCGTGGCATTTGTCTATTATGGTCTGACCATCAATTCTGTGTCGCTGTCCGGTGATAAATATGTGAACTTCGCACTTAATATGGCCATGGAAGTGGTGGCTTCACTTTTGATTGTGATGGCGCTTGAACGTTTCGGTCGGAAGTGGAGCATATTCGTGGCGTTCCTGGTTTGTGGTTTCGCATGCGTTACACCGTTCTTTGTATGTGAGTATTTGAACAAATATATACACTATGACAAAATAACAAATTTCGATTCGTTTGTTCCATTCAATATTACAGCAGCCATTACAATAAAGATGTTCATTCTAAACTGTGTCGGGTTAAATGCTGGAAACCTGCTTTTCTTACATATCGAAAAAACGTATCGTATTAATAGATGTGGACAATTTGATTCCAGCACACGTCGGAACCGGCTTGGGGATGTTCTTCGTAGGCAAACTGTCTATTACTTTCGCGTTCAACTCCCTGTACGTGTTCACCGCGGAACTGTTCCCTACTGCCACTCGTAGCTCTGCACTGGCCGCCTGCTCGCTCGTCGGCCGCATCGGCTCCGTGCTCGCACCACAAACACCACTACTGGTAATCATGTGTCTTCTTTTTGTTATGTCATCATCGTCATGCTAAGATCTCTCTGCACTAGTACAGCGGCCTTTTTTCCTGTGGCCAGAATGACAGCGCAGATGCAGCCGGAGCCACCGGCTTGATGAGCTATGTTTGGTTTATATGTGCTGCTTGTTTGGTTGATATACAAATGTGATTCGTCAGAGCATGTACGTGCAAGCCGTCCTGTACGGCGGGTGCTCCCTGTCCGCGGCGCTGGTGGTGCTGGCGGCGCCGGAGACGCGGCGCGCGGTGTTGCCGCAGAGCGCGCGGGACGCGGAGCACCTCGCGCCCCCCGCGCCCCCCGCCCCGCCACTGCCCACGCCTGCGCCACCCTCAGTAGACTTAACTCGTTTATAAGTCTCCAACATATTGTGACACTCCCCATTACGTATATACTTAGCGGCTGTGACCTTAAGATTGACACAATAGCATGCATGTGACAATGAACACAAATACTGAGAATAGTTCGAGGAAGTGAAACTATTCTCTTGTTTACGGATCAACGTGAAGATCATCATGTCGCTCTGATATCCATACACAAACATGATCGTGAGTACTGATCGTTAATAATATCGCGAGTAGTAATTATTAATCTGTATAAAATAATATAAATATTTAATATTAGTTCCCCCTAAAATATTTCAAAGCTGCTACGACTTAACCATCTGTCAAGCAAGTTCACGAAACTTTATTTAAATTCGGACTAGAAACCGCTCATACTCTTAACTGCCCGACTTAAAAGTCTCATGAATTTATTAAAAATATAATAAGATTTGAGACTTTTTTTTGTAGTCGGTTAAAAATAGAACTCCAAATCAGACAAACTAAGATTCAGGATGGGTCATAAATATGTAGTTAATAGTAATGAAACTTTTTTTATATAAAATTACTAGTTTACTACATTGACGGTCAGTCGCACAAACGTCCATTAAGGTTTAATGGCGCCTTTAAGCTCTAATGAATGTCAAATTTGTGAGGGTTATGTGGATATACTAATGAAAATTTTAATGAACGTTTGTGCAACTAGCTGTGAGTCTGTGATAATTAATTTCTTATATAAAATACCTAGATTAATTTTATATCTAATAAATTGTTATTAAAAATAGTTATTATTTCATTTCAAATTAGTTATTCATTATATTTTTTGAGCATAATACATTATTTTATTATTTATTTATCTACACTTTATATTTTTACGAGCATTTTAAGAGCAGAGTTTACCTACTCTGTATCATAAAATAAATGGGTACACAAATTAATATAGAGCAAACAGTTGTAAAATTATTTAATCTATTCAACAGGCAGTCACTGGATATAAAACGTTTTAAAGAGTCACATCGCAACATCACAATTGTGTTAAGTATTTTAAGACATTAACATTAATTAAATGCAATTACTTCAATTAAAAATTATGTGCATTTCAACCAACAAACGAGTTTGTTCCAGTTATTTACGATGAAGGAAACAAATTAAAAGATCAGACTAACTTAACAAGTTACGGACGTCCCAATCTTTGTGAACTAAAATATATTTCTTTCAGGATGTAAGATCATACAAATAAATAGATTGACAGAGTAGTTTATTTTTTTAATAATTGTAAGGAATTGATAAATTTGAATATAGAAACATGGTACGTTCGATTTAGAATAATCGACGTATAATCTTCTCAGCATTCATTGAATTATCCTTCAAAATATTCTATACCTATATTAAGAGAGTGTTTAGGTACAACTAGACTTAGACTAACCTAGAATTTTACTAAAAAAACTAATGCTAGCTCCATTCACTGTCATCATCGTCAGCCTAAGATGTCTCCACTTCTCGTGTCTCGACACGGGCCTTATTTATAAATAGAATAAAAAAGGGAGAACGGAATGTAACTTATATAAAAGAAATTAGACCAGTTATCAGAAGTTATGCAAAACTATTACTTGAATGCAATGATAAAATAATTTCAAAATAAAACCTTTTTAATATTTAATCGACAGCCGATGAAATATTTATTCTCAGACAATGGTATTGATACCAAAATACTTTTAATATTACAATCAATTATGGTTATGCATCGTAGACTTTTACAATAGCCATATCGTTAATGATTCTGCTAATTACGCTCCTTCAATTTGTCACTCACATCAAATTACCTGGGGTTTGTCCACCTTACTCACTAGCCATATGATATGACATCTTAGCCATACTGTGGCTATATATCGTATCATTAAAACCCAATGAGAAATGAACAAGAGAGGTGTTATAAGTTTAACCCCTTAGTCCGTCTGTTTTCCTATTACTTTGACATGTACTTTAATAACGACAAACGAATGATAAAGGATCATCATTGATTATATTTACCGCAAACCTACTTAAGTCTTTTGTCCATAAATAAACCAATAAAAGATATGTCAAAGAAGTAAAACGAAACAAAATATAGCCATAATATTCACTTATATATCGTATCCTTTGCCTAGAGTTATGGTTTAAGAGTTAGATGGGCGCACCTCTAAATATATCTCGTTAACTCTCATTTCGTTACCTCGCAGTCGCATACGGACTTTATTACATTTACTTATATAGATAACAAAATATTACAATAAAATACAAATGGTTGGTATAACTTAAACTGAAGTTTTGATATTTTTAATTGCGGAAAATTCTTCTCAAGCCATGGTATAAATATATCTTTTTGTATGACGCAAATCTGTTGACTTGCAATTATCTGATTATCATGTTTGTTATCTAGAATGGTCAAATTTAAAATAAATATTGCGTAACAACCAAATTCGATTAGTTAAGTACTCATGATAATTTTACATTTATTTATTTAATTCTTCATGCACAAAAGATCTACATTGACGGAGTTAATGGCTTAGGCATTCTCACCATGTCAACCTTAGAGTGCCGTGCAATGTTGGTAAGGTGCACAATGAAAAGCATGACAACTAAAGTATGTCTTGACAAATAAGTAGATACAATGCATAAGAACTTATATTATATATCTATATTTATAACAAATACATATATATCGATATGCATACATAACCTACATATATACATATAAAAAATATACGATAAAAACTAACGAATTGAAGAATCTGTTTCGTCCGAAAGATAGCCTCGCAAACTTTTCTTAATAGTGAATTTACTGGTGGACATTCTGATTTCTAAGGGGAGCTTATTCCATAGAAGGATAGCCCTGACAAAGAACGAAAAGTGAATGATCAATGAAGATTGAATTTGGAACAAAGAGTTTTAGGAATATATCAATATAGTCAATTTTTAAAACATTTGTATTAAACAAAATGAAATTCACCAGTCCATCTCCGACGTCGGGCACTGGTGAATTATTAAGCATTTTTCTTTAAGATACCATTCATGGTATTATCGAAAACAATTAATCGACATTTCAATATGTTATCTAGATTATGTAATGTCTATGTTACGATATCATAATATTAGTAGTGCACTATATTTTTAATTGTTACTTGTCCTTAATGAAAAATGCTTAAAAAATCCACTTGGTCACTGGCACCCTGAGATGGGATTTGAACCCATGGCCTTTCGCAATCCGGGCGACTGCTCTAACCACTGACTTATCCAGGACCTAACAGGACTGACGAATTTTTAAGCACTTTTTTCGCTACTACAGATCGTATTTTCATCAATGTTCAGGGAATCCACACGAACAGCCGAAAAAAATATTTTTACAAATATTCAAACTTTCGGTGAAGATGAAAATTAACGCCCATTGCACGAATGTAATTAATTTTTTTTTTTGTTCCTTGCAATGTATTTATTTTTACTTTTTTTGTGCAATAAAGTGTTAAATAAATAAATAAAATTTGATAATTATATTTGATAAATTTCGCATTTACAAGGCTATACTGAAAAATGTTCTTACACATACAAAGTAATCCGATTTTGATTTTATTTTTAATGAATATATTCAAACTTAATTTGAAATATGAAACGGCATAATAGAGAAAAATATGCTTATAAATAAATGATAATAACCATTCTCTAATAAGCTTAGTAAATTTTAATAAAACTGAATTAATACCTATTTAATACCAACATTAATGATTTATAAAATTAATACACTTCTATACTGCTCTGTGGTTCCAAAGTAAGCTGGTTTTCATCTCCAATATTATAAAATACCATTTTGAAAATAAAACTTTATACTTATCATAGTGAAAGCGCTAATTATATTTCCTAAAATATTTAATACAAAATGCATAATTTTTAAAGACAAGACAATTTTTATTTTAAAAAATATTATCTATCGAATAATAAAGTTTATTTATATTAGTTACATTTTACATCTATTACTTCACGCCGTATCACTTGCGGGCCATATTTTTTACAATAATATCACTAATCCGAAACACAAATGCACCGCCAATTACCTGATAAATGCAAAAACTTAGAAAAAATCCCAAATCTTATCGCTACCTACATCATCTCATGCGGTGTCTACGCAAGCGCGTCAGTAGCTCGCGGTATGGCGCCGAATGTAGCGGACGAGTGCGAGAATGCGAGATCAGGTGTTCCTGACGCCAAACAATCATGTTCCCGAGGTGTTCCTAGACAAACATTTTCCTCGAGTAATTCGGAAAGTACCGAAACTGAGTGTGATGCCTTAGAAGCTGCGCTTGCGCAGATCGGGCCGTTCGGTTGGTACCAGCGGTATATGGTGTTGATGCTGTGTTTGCCTAATGTGCTAGGTGAAATGTACTCTTTGAACTACATCTTCGTAGCTGACCAAGTACCTTTTCGGTGAGCGATGTTATTAATATAGTTCTCTGTTTTATAGTACTTTCAATTTTGTAGATAATCTTAGCGAACCTCTTAAGGTAAAAAGGAACTCTTATAAAATCACTTTCATATCCGCTTGTTTGTTTTTATCAAATTCAAATTAATATCAAAACATTCAGATTTGCAATCTCTTTAAGCTATCATAAAATTGTATACGATTACGTGTTACAGAATAAATTGCTTTATTCTTAAATAACTTAATGTTCCTTTGTTCACTAGTTTCTTACAAAATTTAAATCATATATGTAGTGATTGGCGAAAATAAATTATTCATTATTCAAAAATTTTAAGGAGTTATCAAAAGATTTAATGTGTCTAAAGCACTGAAATATGGATACACTAAAACACTTTTGGCAGATATAGCTTAAATCAGTTAAATACCAAGACTTGGATTTAAGACAAGAAAAGTTTGCTATTCAATTTTCGCAATTTGTTGAAAACAAGTGAAAAAATAATTTACATACATATATTTCATATAAATATAGAACTTAAGACACATCCCATGCATATTCGTACAAGATCGTGTTAGTAATGATTTAGTT